TGTAACTTTGGCGCTATCTTCACTGTTTTGGGGAAACTACCACAAGAGAGCGTTTTGTCGATATCGTTGCTTCATATTTTACTAAATTTAATATAGTTTGCCACCGTTTGAAGTTCATTCCAATGCTCTTAGTCAATTTTTTTGGAGATACAGCAAGTCAAAGAAAATAATTCATAATACTGAATAACTCAGGCGCTTATTTCAGTTATTTTAAATATAAAAAATGTTTCCAGTTTCTTTGTTTAATAGTTTTGTAAAGTCAATTAAATTTTCTACAATTTGAGCTTAATCTAGCATTCTAGAACCTTAAAGATATGCCTTGTCAGAGATAAATTTTTTTTTCGAAAGTAAACATCTGAGCACGGTCATTTGCATAAATCATGAGAGAGAAGTTGAAGAAAATATAATTACTTTTCATTTGATTTCAATAATATGGTATTTCTAGGTTTCATAGAAACATATTAAGTTTGCTCAAGAATGAAAACAGTAATAATGATAAAAACAGTGTACTGAATAATGTTGGTAATACATATATTTAAATTTTAATTTAAGAAACATAAAATACTATCATTCACTCGTCTCCTTTCCCACTGAAATAGTTGAAACTAATAGAGTACAGCTGTCTGGAGTAGAGAGCGCCTCACTGACAACTATGTAACTAAGACATTTTGAATTTGATTGAGTTAAAAAAAACCTGAATAGATAATGAGTTGCTCGTTATGTGTGCTTTACATATTTTCTGTCTATTATTTATATTTTCGAGACTGTTAATTGAAAATATGGACTTGAGATTTTATTTTGATAAATATTTTCGTAATTGTAATTCAGCTGAGGTTATTACACATATTACAGCATTATATACCACTTAATTACATTTAATTTGATACCCCACACATGCAAATAAGGTTGTTAGAACTAGAATAAAGGCAATTTTTAAAATGTTACCCTAAGAGAATGGACTATTTTATTTTGTAATCACCATTCCCGATAGTTTTGTGGAAAAAAAGAACTTTTCTTTGCAAAAACTTAGTTTGATTTTATAAGTTAACGTTTAATTTTGCAGGATTCGAAAAATACAGATGTGGATAGTGCTAGCCTAAAAAGCAGTTATATGAAAAGGTTTAGTAATTAACTGCCTTTAAGTTATGCATAACTGTATTAAAAGTTGTTAAAAATTTTTGGAAGAGAAGTTAAGCGATATCTACTTGCCTAGAAGGCGGCTATGTGTAATTAGCCGCTTTTTTGGCGGCTATGTGTAATTAGCCGCTTTTTTGCTATGGATATGTTAATAACTTCCTGTCTTTTCTGGCAGTTATTAATAAATCCATAACTTAAAAGCAGTTATGATTCTTTAGCCGCCATTTAGTTCTGCACACTTGAAGCAAGCCTTAACATTTTACAAGGTTAGAAAGGAAAATGTACATTTATTGAATTAATTATTAATATTTTACAAAATCAACTTACTTCATGTGAAAGTTGAAAAAAATACCTTTTTTTTGGTATATGACAACATGACAAAATGTTTATAGATACTGAGCAGCATCGGTTTGAAAATTTTGCCGCTTTTTTCTGTTCTAGCTCAAAATTAGATTTTGTCATTTAGCGGCCTTTTAGCTTATAGACGGCAGAAGTACGTTGTATCTCTTGGTCTACAAATTGAGGTCTCAGTAGCCACTAGCCAGTGCAAGATTCGATTTGCGTATCGAACTGTTCACGGCTTTGAGCACGGGATTGCAAAATTCTGATGGTGCAGTCTTTTGTTTTCTTCTCGGGAATTATAGAGTTTACGAGTAAATTAATTGCGAGATCCTAGGACTTGGTTAATTTAAAGTTTTAATTAATATGTACTACCTTAACAGGAACTTAACGGCTAAGCAGAAGATTGTTTAGGACCTCTTTCTTCAGAGGTTAAATGTATAAGATGTGTTCAATGGAAATGAGAGCTTAATCACCTCTTAATATCTTTATGCATATTATAATATTTATATTGTCTTATTATATCTTTATCTTTGTACGACAGTATGGTTTAACCCTTAAATTGTTTTTGTCCGTTTTAAAGGACATGTCAAATAATTGCTTACAGAATCTAAATTAAAGCAATTTATCGACTTTCAAGGGATATTTTATAAAAAGCATGATATTTTATGTGAAACACGGGTCTGTAGTTCAATAAAAAGCCGCGAATTATAAAAATAAAGACAGTTGAATAAATGCAATAGCAATGTCAAGTTTTCCCTCTGGATAAATGTGGCAATACTGTAGGTATTACACTTGTTCTTGTGATTTATTGATTGATTTTAGAATATTAACGAATAAAACTGACGGTTATTGCCAAAACTGTAAAAAAAATATCGATTTTTGCCATTCATTTCAAGGTTACAAATGTTATGTCACTTAAAACGGACAATGCCATGTATCAGTAATAAATACTCATGTTGATTTTTAGACATTTTTACCCAATTTCCCCCTTTTAGGGGTTGAATTCTGAAATAACGTGAAACACGTGTTTATTCATTTATCGATAGGAATGTATCCTGTAAAGTTTCGAATTAAATAGTGTAACTAATTTTGTTTCGCCCTACAAACTTTGGACCCCCATTTCACCCCCTTAGGGAGTAATTTTGGAAAAATCCTTTCTGATAACACCCCTAGACCCTAATAAGGAACCTACATGCCAAACTTTGTGTCTTTATACCCACCGGTTTGGGATTTATGTTGATAAATCAGGCAGTCACTTTCTGTTTTTATATGTCAGTATCAGTATTTTTTGATAAATTTATGTAAAATCAACAGTAAATAGTCCAGATGTATTGCAAAAAGGCGCTGGATTAGCCAGAGGATGATTATCAGGGATTCCTGTATTGTTATTAAGAAAAGTTGTTTTACGTTTGTTTTTCTAAACTGGCAATGTCCGCCCTAAGTGACATGGATGTAATGCTAAATAATTGGCAATGTCCGTTTTGAGTGACATGTCATAACTTCTATACTAATTGAATTTTTTTCAAAAAGTAAATATTTTTTTCTTAATCTATCAAAACAATACCTAAATCCCAAATTTGACCATTTTTGAAGCAAGGGTTCAATGAGTGCCAATTTAAGGGTTAAGGCCTCAGCAAGCCTTTCACTTTTTATCGCTTTATGATTACACAATCACAAGCAGCATGAGCTGTATAAATAATCTTCGTTGTTCAACCGGCTCGTTGGTCTAGGGGTATGATTTTCGCTTAGGGTGCGAGAGGTCCCGGGTTCAAATCCCGGACGAGCCCAACCTCTTTTTTTTGGATTGAAAGAAAGAACAAAATATTGCGTAGTTAATGAAGTCAAGAGTGACTGAGCATTATATTATCTTCTGGCCTTTATATTGACAAATTATAATGGCGAGAAAATATCTCATGTTTTTGCTTACTTGCGAGCGAGCTTCTAGGATTAGTTAAAAATTTTAAACCTACCTAGTTACTTGTTTATATTAAAACATACGCCCTACCAATATTATATAGAACTAATTAATTTATTTTAGTCTAGCGATAGCCCAAAAGCGCAGAGTCTTAGCAAGTCTTACTATTTGTTATAACTTTATGTAGTTATGTCAATAATAATTGTATCTGGTTTATGATTACACAATCACCTGCAGCATAAGCTGTATAAATAATCTATGTTGTACAACCGGCTCGTTGGTCTAGGGGTATGATTTTCGCTTAGGGTGCGAGAGGTCCCGGGTTCAAATCCCGGACGAGCCCAGTCTCTTTTTTGGATTCGTATTTAATAAGATAAAACGACGATTGCATTTGGGTGAATGAGCATTGTGCATTTACGGGACTGTACCCACCTCTCGTTGCCACCACTGCAACTCCTGTGTAGCCAGGATCTACAGCTTGACCGCCACAAAAACCCAACCAATGAAGGTCAAGTTTGTCCCGGGGGAAAGTTAAACTGTCATTAGACCCGCAACGAAATTAATCAGAAGAACATAGGAGGAGTTCGAAATTAAGGTTCGACTTCCCTCCATTGCAAAGCGGATGACAGGTGACAAAGGTTTAAAACCTTTAAGAAAAGATTATGCACCACGGACAATAAATAAAGCATTCCATCTCTTGGCCTATAAACTGACGTCTCAGTAGCCAGTGCAAGATTCGATTTGCGTATCGAACTATTCAAGTCTCTGGCAAAGAACGGCAAAATTAAGTTGGTCCCGTAGAGCTCGAGTCTTTTGTTTTTCTTTACTCAGGCACTATCGAGTTTACTTTAGGTGGGAGCTCCTAGGAATTGGCTAGTTTAAGTTAAAATACGTACGATCTCTAAACAAGAACAAAACTTTTATGTGCATAGATTTTAGAACTGTTCTTTGCGCGTGTTCTTTTACGAAGTTTGGAAAATAAGGTAAAATGCAGGTTTATTTTTACAATTAAATACAAGAAAAATTGTCAAGAGACCTTCTCAGTCCATCATTTTCATGCGTATAGGCATTTTGGATTGAGTGAGAGGGATCGCTATATGAAATAATTAAGTAGTTTTGCGTTACCTTTCACTTTGTTGATCGCCTCTTGTAGATAAGCAGTTACTGTTTCTGGTGTTTGATTACATAATCACGTGTAGAATGGACTGTATTGGTTATCATTATTGTATAACCGGCTCGTTGGTCTAGGGGTATGATTTTCGCTTAGGGTGCGAGAGGTCCCGGGTTCAAATCCCGGACGAGCCCAAATACTTTTTTGAGGAAAAAAATCTGAATTTTTGATATTATTCGATGAAATTATTTTAAGGTATTGGTTACGCAGATGTACGCTTAACTTTAGTTTATTTTTAATTCCCAAATAGTTTTGTCTGCAGGTAGAAAACTGTTTGGTTTCCACATCTCTGTGGTCATTCTTGGCGTTTCTGAACGTCAAGCTTTGACACACTTCACCGTAAAACTTTAAACGCAACGCACATCTTCGCAGTTTCGCGAGTGAAAAAACCGCACTTTTATCTCCCGCAAATCGCATCATAACGCACAACGCATAGGGTCATTTCGCCTGTTCGCGTCCATCGCCCAGTTCGCGTCCATTTTGCCGATCTCCTTTTAAAAATCCTCGAAAACAAGTCAACTAACACACCAATCAAACGAAAAGTCATTACCGCTAATACGTCAATGTATAAGAGGCACGCACACATAGACAAAAGTCCTGTGCGTCCAACCATTCCTGTTTAGAAAAATAGTTAGTCTCCGCTGTTCAACAAGGAAGCTCACATGCGCTGCATATTTAGATAAAAATTAGTGTGCAGCGGCGTGTTTGATGGTAAGTTTTATATTATTGTTTTATGTGAATTTTAGGATAGATGGCTATTTCTACAGTTTAATGATGAAAAAAGGTATAATATTTATTATGAATTTGGTAATGTTTTTTATATTTAACGAATAAAATAAGGTGGACGCGAATTACTACATCGATTTTACAAAACTTCCACTTTGCGTCCACAATGGACGCAAACTATACCTATCCTCTGTAATAATAAACCAAATTGCGTCCACTGTTTTCGTTAAATACTTGCTTATAAAAAAAATTAAAACATACTGTTTAATATTAATGTGTATAGGTAAGGTCATTTTAAGAATACAAGTTCGCACATCTGACCCTAAGTGAGCTACTTTTATTTTAATTGATATTTTTGTTTTTGTTTAATTTTTTCCAAAATTTGATCTAAAAACTGCCTAAATTTTTTTTCTCGCGTGTTTTTAACCGCTTTTGTTATTTGATATTAATATCTAATATGTCTTTAGTCAAATAAATTCAATTTCAGATCCAGATAATGATTGGATAGCTAGTTACGAGCCGCGAAAGTTTAACAAAGGTACAAACCACGGTAAAAATTTCAACTTGGAATTCGATTTAAAAAAAATTAAAGATGATAGTGGATTGCCAATGATCTTAAAAACATCTCTAGCTTTTCTTCTTTCCAATGATATGTCACGTCATGTAGTAATTAGATATTGAAATTCGTCAAAAATTCAAAGTTTAGGGAAGAAAATGGAACAATAATACAAAAGTAGTTGAATGGCTTCTTAACATTTCTAAATGTGGATTTCCAGTAAAAAGCAAGAATTTTGTATACTGTTCAAAAAATAATTCGAGACGGAGAGTTTAAAAATAATTTCAAAGATGATCGTCCAGGTCAAAAATTGTTTGAAAAATGTTTGGCCAGAAATAAAGAATTTTTTACTTAAACCAATGTTGAGAAGAATTATTTTTATTTTTTAAAGTGAGTTTTAAATGATGATAATGTTGATTTTTAATAATTAAGTTTATTGTTAAATAAAGAAATTGTTCAAACACAATCTTTCTTTATTAATTCTTAAAAATATCAGCCCTTTATTCCTTTTCTAAGCTGCTGGACGCTAAATGGTCCACGGGTGGACGCAATTTGGATTTTGTGGACGCAAACTGGGTATAACGCCTAATTCTGAAGTTTATCTATTTAAAAAGAAAACGCAAGATGTTTCTAATACAACTGAAAGTTAATCTTAAAATAGAATATATAATGAATACATTACACAAATTTGTCATAGAAATGAGTGCTGGGGCATTTTTATTATCGCCGTCAAACTTGCCAACTGCACTAAATGGACGCGAACAGGCGAAATGACCCTACGCAGCAAACGCATCTCCGCATTCAAAGCCCAAATTGCTCGTGACCTGAACCCCCTGCAGGGGAAGTGAAGCCGATCCATCTTCATCCCGGAGTGTCCCGGTGCCAGCAGTGGTCGAGCTGACGGAAGGGGACCCGAGATTGGCTCAGAGGTTAGTGGGACCAACTATTTCTCCTCTGCAGGCAAAATCATTTGGGAAACGTAATTTGGACTTCCGATTAAGATCCCGCCTGGTGTGGCTATTTACACGCCACACCAGGTATATTATACTCTCAATGTTACACACATTTTACCTTCATTTTTAAAATCAAGATCCAATTTCTTTTCTCAATATAGAGAAATAAAAATTTCGCCAAAATTATAAATCAAATAAAAATAACAGACCTAATTTTGACTTCTGCTTCAAAGCCAGTTCAGCTTTGAAATAAAATTGATTCTGCAAACAAAAACTGAATGACTGTGTATTAGGGCGAAATTACCATACACGCTCAGGAAGGCATCCACGAGGTTACCCAGATAAAGCAAACAAAACACAATGAGTATAAATCAATTTTATGGAATGCAAACGGCCCGAAATGTGTTGAAAATATCCCACCGGCTTAATGACGGGTTAAAAAAATGTTTTTTACGCGTGAATACGTCAATAATTTTTGAATTGCAAATACTTTTACAGGCGCGCGGAATTTACACAGTTTCTAGGCGAACGAATAAGAGCTCTGGCACCTTTTTGGATTTAATAGAAAAAGTCAGATACTGACGCAAGAATTTTTTCACCTAAGCTCTCTAAAGTTCTGTGGAAACCTACACGTGGAAAAAAATGTTTTTGTTTTATATTTTGTCAATCAATGTTTGCAAAAACACAAGCGCTTTTTTGATCGGTCGGCACTTAAGGGTATAAAACTATACTGCTGACCTATGTTGTTATAATAGGAGAAAAAAATAGTCTGGTGTGCTATTGACTGTACTGGAACTCACTTGAAAAGGGATGGTCACTGGATGGCATGTGGAAAAAAATGTTATTGTTTTATATTTTGTCAATCAATGTGTGCGAAAACACAAGTGCTTTTTTAATCGGTCGGCACTTAAGGTTATAAAACTATACTGCTGACCAATGTTGTTATAATAGGTAGGAGAAAAAAATAGTCTGGTGTGCTATTGACTAGGACTCACTTGAAAAGGGGTGGTCACTGGCGCTATTAATTCCGGGAGAGAGTGGGGTGTCTCTAGTGTTTGGTATTTTATCGCTCGCCCTAGTCCTAGCTATATTCACACGCGATTTCTTTATTTTCCACCAAAACACACCCTGTATTTTGAAGTCTACTAAATAGTAATAAATAGTTGCTGTGCTCTAACGACTCAAAAATTTTTAAGACCCTGACATTTTAAGTTGTTTTTAAGGTAGGACATGCATATTTAGATTAAAATCAATTTGTTTACTTGTTTACAGTTTTAGACATTGCAGACTTGAACCAATATTTAATTTTCCTGTCAGTTTCAGTGCTTCGGAGGATATAGTCTATTCGCGATTCATAAAGTTTAGTGTACCAGATAAGTTTTTTTATAAAGATTATTATAATATAATTATAAGTCCCGTTAGCCCCTCGTGGTAAACTAAATAAGTTGATACAGATCACGCAATAGAGGAAGAGCAGGCTAATGCCTAATGGAATGATCATTGATCATTCACAATCAGTCGTCGGAGCGCACCAAGGCGACAACATCAATTCCTGAGGATGCCGCGTGGAGCGGCGAAACGCGTCGAGGTTTTTTGCGCATCGGTGTTGGTAATGACTACATACGATTTCTGGGAGGGCAGGCGGTGCTTCTTGCATTTGCTTGTACCTACTATAACAGTCAGTTTCTTTGCGAGATCGAATCAGAAATGAGGAAATCCGTAAACGAACTAAAGTCGCTGACATAGCCCGACGGATTAGCAAGCTGAAGTGGCAATGGGCAGGGTACATAGTACGCAGAACTGACGGCCGATGGGGCAGCAAGGTTCTGGATCGACGAGCGATCAACGTGGAAAGCATTAGGGGAGGCCTATGTTCAGCAGTGGACGTCCTATGGCTGACATGATGATAATGATGATGATGATAACAGTCATGGGCGCGGGTAGTGTAGATGGGTACTTTTGCCGGCGTCACTAAGCGGAAATTTTAAGTTAAGTAATTTTATCTTTTTAATAACCATTCACAATCAAACTGCTAAAAAGTTTGTAGTCTGCGTGGGCTCTATGCTCTCATTTATCCTTATTCCTTCCCAATCTAATAAGGTTATTATTATTCCGAATACGTCCTATCACTTGTTCCAGCTCCAAAGGCCACATAGCAGGTTCCGGTGGCTAATGGAAATGATCGCTTCCATTTGTAGTGCCGACTAGCATCGCCATTGAGATCCTTTATCTGATTTATGGACCGGTTTCGTATTGGTTGTGTCTTGCTTGACTCATGGTGTTATATCGGCGATATTACGGTATTGTTGGACATACTTGGCTATTGTTTGAGGTATAGTAAAATGGGGATAATGTTTATTGCTAATAGTAATAAGTATTATAATAAAAGTGCTATGCTTTGTCTGGTGTTCCGGTTTTGGTTTTAGAAAAGAGTTTCTGTTTCGCAAGGAATCTTAGATAGGTATTCATTCCTTTGGCGGAATTAAATGAGTGTTACTTAATTCTTAGACTCTGTTAATTACTAGCCATATCATTTAAATTGTTCTGTTGAAAATTAATCAGCCTAAAGTTACGAAGTATTCGTCAAGTGATTCATGAAATTAGTACATACTATTTTGATACAGGTGTTAATTGCTTGGTGCTTAAACAAATAATTACAGTAGATAACCTACGTACTTGTATAGTTCTTGCAACTCACGAAGGCGAGTGAGTTTAACTTGTGTGTGTACGTGTACATGCACATAACGATAGTGTAAAGTCTATCAAAACTTTTGAAGGAAGAACAGTAGTGAGCCACCACACATCATGTAAAGCTCACTCGCCTTCGTGAATTCCAACAACTATAACTTTAATAAACAAGCCTTTTAAATAGATTGTCAATGTTCTATTGTCGTATATTCTATAAAACTAGGTAGTATAAACCCCAAGGATATTAGGGGAGGAACATTATGTGGACTGAAGCCCAAAAATGGATTTTGGTAGGTACTCGAATATCCCTTGGAATATGAATCACGTTCATATTTCATACGGCATTCCACGTCAGCTGAAGTGCGAGGATATTAAATGAGTCGGAAAAAATGGCCTGTTTATTATATTTGGATTCGGTTGATACAACAAAAATAGAAGGAGTTGTTCTATGATTTCCAATACTTTGTCGTACGTTACTATGAGGTCTCACAGTGCGCGTGGACTCACATGGTGACACACAAATCAATCACAGAGCGCTATACAACACTGTGCGTTCGATTTACGACTTTGCTTAAGCAAGCGTCGTTTGTAAATACGGGCGTTAGTTCTTTATAAGTACTCGTAATAATCCGAAATAACCAATAAAAAGTTTTAATCAAAATCTAAATTACTTTTGTTACTACGCCCCTATAAGTATAAACTAATGTAAGTATTTAAATTATTTTATGTTTAAAAGCCAAAAAAAATATTTTCCGGTTTATACAAGAAGAGATAAGTAACTAAAAGAAAATAAGGGGGAAAAGCATTTCCATGACATTAAAGCTAATCATAACACAAAGCCATTTTCACTCGAGATCTTTAATAAGTATTTCATTACAAAAGTTGGACACGTGTCTGAAATCTGAGTATATTCCGTATCGTACCTATAATGCCTAGAACTTTGTTATAATCGTAATTTTCCTAAGTTTTCATTTCTAGCTTCTTGCCTTCAGTCTTTTCTGCGATTCAGTAACATGTGCCGGCGTCACTAAGCGGAAATTTTAAGCTACGTAATTTTATCTTTTTAATATGGTACTTGCCTATTAAGTAAACTATTCTCAAACACTTTTTATTCTCACTAAATTGTAAAAATTACAGATTAACCTAATTTAAAATTTTATTGGTTCCTATATAACTTTCGCTTTTTTGTTTCTAGGTGTCCCCTTAGCTAAATCTTATGATACTACTTCTTCTTCTTATCGTGTCGACAACAAACCTACACAGTGTCGGCCCAAAACTCCGCCACATATTATAATAAATAAATAATAAATAAATAAATAAGAGCTGGCAGGAAAGTTCTCGAGTCACGTGGCGACCACGGGCTGGAAAACGTAGCGTGGGCAGGCCTCCTTCTAGGTGGACCGACGATCTGGTAAAGGTCGCGGGAAGAGCCTGGATGCGGGCAGCGCAGGACCGTTCATTGTGGAAAACCTTGGGGGAGGCCTTTGTCCAGCAGTGGACGTCATTTGGCTGAAACGAACGAACGAACGAAATAAGAGCTACTACCACATTATAAGTTTGGACGATACTTAATTATGCCAACGATA